TTGGAATGTCATCATAGACGGCCACCCTCCCGCCTCCCCCTTCTCCCGGGCCCCGAGCCTCGGCGCCCATACAGAACAGAGCCAGACCACACCTCACCTCCCCAGCTTCGCAGTTGCGGAAAGACTGCTGAAAGCTTACGGCTTTTACTTAAAGGACTAGACCGGAAGTGGCTGGGCGGGCTTTACCATTATCAACCAATAGCAAGTCGAACTTCCGATCACGTGATATGCGGTGGACTAATGATTGGCCGGTCTCGTTGAGTCCTCCAGAGTCTAGAGTGGTCACGTTAACCACCATTGAGGTGGGAGTCTAGGAGAAACGAGGAGGATAAGAGTGGCGCGTTCTCCTAAGTTACTTTCGATCGGCTTGTAATTAGCGCATTTCTCTACCGTTTACAAAAGAAAACTTTACACACAACTGACAACTAATGCATGACTTGTAAACATTCTGTGCCAGGAGCTAGGCTAGGGGCTAAGGATGTAAAGGTGAACAAACCTGGCCCAGGGTTAACAGTAACGTGTTGTGTTTGAAAGTAGACCGATCTGCAACCAGATTCTGACTTTGCGATGAATTCACTCTATGACCTTGGGCACTTAACCTTTCTGAGCCTAAATTTCTGAAAATTAGGACTATCCGAAAAGCTTTAAGGATTGAGTGAATTAATGTCAATCGCCTGGCACAGTCTAGGTGGTAAAACACGTGTTTCCTGTTAAAGAACCGGGTGACGTGGAAAACTTCTTTGACTGCAATGCTTTAATAAATGCTAGAATAGGGCTATGAACAGCCTGCCGTGCAGGCCCGAAGGAGAGGAGCCTGACCTTGGGAAAGCCAGAAATGCTCCCCAGAGGTGACGGAGCTCCTCTGCGAGACGAGCGCTGCGCCGCTCACTGAATGCACCGGCGGAGTCATACGTCCCTGCCCTCTACGCGCTTGCTTTACCGGGAAAGGGGATCAAATCTCCCCTTAGCTTTCCAGCATATGAGTTTGCAGTTGAATGGGGCTCTTATTTTCCTTATTTTCTACGTAGTCTTTAAATTTAAAAAAACGAAAAACCTCTTTGCTCAAAAGCAATAATTATTTTGATAAAGGTCTAGTACCCTCTAGATAATTACTGACTTTTACAGCTTTTTTAACTTTTTTTTTTTTTTTTTTTTTTTT